TTCTTCGTTTGGTTGGATCTACTATAGTTAGAGATTAATTACATGTAATTTTACGTGAAATTTTGAATAACTTGATCTCAAATAAACAAGGGCAGGATAGCCGAATTAGAAAAAAAAAAAAAATATAGATAATAATATAACAACAATAATAATAATAATAATAATAATAATAAAACTACTAGTAAAACTAATGTTAAAGCTCATTCTATAACAATGGCTCCCGACCATACAATTGCATCATGTCAAATTGAAGAATCAAACAAAGACAAAATAAGAATCACGATTGTACTTACCACCAATGCTGATAGTACTTACAAGCTTCAACCTTTTTTTATTGGATATGTGAAAAAACCAAGGTGTATTTTTTTTTTTTCTTTTTTTTTTATTTTTTTATTTTTTTTTTTCTCTTACTTTTTAACTGTGATAAGTATTTCATTATAATCAAGGTGCTTTAAAAAGAAGACCAGCAAACAACTCAGATTCTATTATCGTAATAACCAAAAAGCATGGATGACTTCTATGTTTTTTTAGGAATGGCTAAGCAAGTTAGATAAGCAAATGAGAAATGAAATCATCATATTCTTCTTATTGTTAACAAGGCCTCTACTTACGTTGTTGGCACCTTTTCTCTTTCTAATGTGAAACCTCTTTTTTTACCATCCAAAACAACTTCAAAAATACAACCCATGGATGCTAGCATTATTGCTTCATTTAAGCTTTATTATTATCACCTACAACTTAGCATGCAAATGATTTGGACGAAGCTAGTGAAAAAGATATTTATAAAGTTGATCAATTGCAAGGTATGAGATGGTCAAAAATCATTTGGAATGAAGTATTTGCTGAAACAATTAAACATTGTTGGGTTCACACAAAAATTTTGACACCACGTGATGAAGCTGGAATATCTATTCCTGACCCTCCTATTACTAATGATCTTGAAAGTATAAAAGAAAACCCAACTGAAAAATTAGTTAAAGAACTTCAACAACAAATAGATACACTAAATATTTGCACTCTAATATCAGTCAAAAATTGGTTAAATTCTGAAGGTGAACAAGAAGTCCACTAACAATTTGATAACGAAGACTTTGTTCTAGGTGTTGTTGAAGTAGAGCAAAGAAAAGAAGAGGAAGAGATCATAGAGCCAACTCTAACTACAAAAAAAAAGTTGGCTGTTTTACATAATGCTTTAAAAATTGTTACTGAAATGGTTAATAATGGTAGAGCAATATTGAGGTCTCTTTGTAAAATATAATTTCAAATTCGTGAAGAGATTCAAAATAAAAAAAATAAAAACTAGTTCAATGTACTCTAGATCAATTTTTTGAGGTTTGTCTTAATATCAATATGAGAATGGCAATTTACAAAACAATTAAAAATACTGTAATACTAATAAAAAAAAACTTTCTTTTGATAAATTTCAGTGAATAAACCTTAATTTTGTGATGCTTTAAAAAAATAAAATAACAATAAATAAATAAAAAGCTATATTCAAACTTAAAAGTTTTTCTGAAATAAATTTGTTAATCATAAATTGTGATTAGTGCTAAATTAATAATAAAAAAAAACTTTAAATTATAATAGTCATCTATATTCAATCTAACTCTTTCTGACGATCCTCTGGTCAACAACAACAAAAACTAAACTACAGCAAAACATATAGAAAAGTGACGAAGTAGATACTAAAACTTGGTCCTATAAGTAGAAGCAGCTTGTTGTTGACGAAGTCTAAGCTGTCTAGGTATGAAATACTGAGGAGCGGACACCAAAAGAACGGACGGTTTTCTTTGAGATCAAGTTTTCTTTCTGGCAGACTCCTCAAAGTATTTGTCATCCAAACCAGAAGATTTATTCTGGGAACAAGTCTGTAGAAGTAGCCAAAAGTGCACTTCTAAGTGGTAGAAATGGAGAAGCTAGACTATATAATTGTAAAACTTACAAGAAGAACCTTACATATTCTCGTTAGCCTACTACTTTTTTTTGAGGAAATTTTTGTAAAAAGTGGGCATCTTAGCTTACCCCTCTAAATGATCGACATCATATGTACCAAACAAGTCAGCATTGTTTATCTCCCAAATCAGAATGTAACAATAAACATGTATATATATGTGCTTCAAATGCAATAGATATTTATATTAGGGATGTTAATGGAGTGCTCCAGGGTGGTGTGGTGCATACTCTGGCAGAGTATTCCTTAACACCACACTGAAGTATGAATCAAAGTATACTCCAAGCTGTAACCCGGAGTATAACCCAGAGTATAACTCGGAGTACTGTATGCTAAGCACTATGTAATACTCCAGAGTTTATAGTAAAACTTTCAATGATTGGTTGATATAAATCAATTGCCCAAGCTAATTTTTCTGCTGATTCGATTTTTGGTATGATCTAGGGTAGCATTTATTGTTTACAGAGATAGTCTAAATTAGACTATCTCCGTAAATAATAAATGTTACCCTAGATTATACCAAAATCG